GTAGAGACGGGGTTTCACCGTGTTAGCCAGAATGGTCTCAATCTCTTGACCTTGTGATCCACCCGCCTCGGCCTCCCAAAGTGCTGGGATTACAGGCACGAGCTGCTGCGCCCGGCCGAGGAGGACTTATTTTTAAAAATGCTCTTCAGCCCAAACAAGACTTGTCTGCTAGCCCCATACAGCCCACGGGCCACCTGTTTTACACTTCTGTCCTACAATGACAATAATGATAGATATTAATGGTAGCTTTATTGTGCTTCTGCTGTATAGTAGCCTGTTGTATCCTGTTCATTATTATCATTATTATTATTTGTTTATTTCTTTTGAGATAGAGTCTCGCTCTGTCGCCCAGGCTGGAGTGCAGTGGTGTGATCTCAGCTCACTGCAAGCTCCGCCTCCCGGGTTCACACCATTCTCCCGCCTCAGGTTCCTGAGTAGCTGGGACTACAGGTGCCCACCACCACGCCCGGCTAATTTTTTGTGTTTTTAGTAGAGACAGGGTTTCACCGTATTAGCCAGGATGGTCTCAATATCCTGACCTTGTGATCCGCCCGCCTCGGCCTCCCAAAGTGCTGGGATTACAGGCGTGAGCTACCGCGCCCGGCCTCCTGTTCATTATCGTATCCCCAGAATCCAGCATCATGCTTGACATACTGTGAATGTCCAAGAAATATTTGTTGAATGAGTGAACAACTGATCTTAGTGAGGTTTTGGGTTCCAACAGAAGCAGACCCTTGTATTTTTTTTTTTTCTTTTTTTTTGAGATGGAGTCTCACACTGTCACCTGGCTGGAATACAATGGTGCGATCTCAGCTCACTGCAACCTTTGCCTCCCGGCTTCAAGTGATTCTCCTGCCTCAGCCTTCCAAGTAGCTGGGATTACAGGAGCCCGCCACCACACCCGGCTAGTTTTTTTTGTTTTTGTTTTTGTTTTTTTTAAGTAGAGATGGGATTTCATTATTTTGGCCAGGCTGGTCTTGAACTCCTGACCTCGTGACCTGCCTGCCTTGGCCTCCGAAAGTGCTGAGATTACAGGCGTGAGCCTCCACGCCCAGCCTGTAAGCACGTTTTAAGGGGGTGATCCCAGGAAGAACCAGCAGGGGAGAGAAGAAGTGAGGCAGGTGCTACAGGGGCCATGGTGGACCACTGAGGATCAGTCTCACTGGGCACCCCTGGGAGGCAGCCTGGAACACCTCTGAAGTTGTGGTGTCCAGGGGTCAAGGGACCTGGAGTATGTATTTTCCAATCCCTCTGTCCTTGCCTGAGGCTGTTTGTGGGGTCATGAACATTCAGACCTTTCCATCCTGGCTAGCACCATGCTCAGCAGAAGAAAGAAAATCCGGCTTCCTTTGTTCAGTGAGGAACAGAAGGAGAGAGAAGGATGGATGGCAGGGTGGGGGGTGGGGAGGAAAGGAGGAAGGGATCACTTTAATTGCAAGCACACCCTTTTTGGGGTACATAAGCAGAACAGCTGTGAAGAAACCCTCACCCAAATAAGCCACTTTGTTTCTAACACACACACAAATTCAAATCTACCCAAATATTGATCAGTGAGGCTCTAGGGTGTTGGCAGGGGGCCCCTTCTCTTGATCTTTGGCATATACTTGAGTGTTGGGCAGAGTGCTGACACTACCTACTGCTGGTGTGATCATCTTCCTGTATAGATGGAGGAAAAAACAAAACAAAAAAACAGAGGCTCAGAGAGGTGAAGTAACTTGTCTCAGGTCACACAGCAGTAAGTGGCAAAACTGGTATTTGAACCAAAATCTGGCCTATTACCCAACAGGTAGTGGGCCATGTTCTACGAGACCATTCTGGTGAAGAACCATGAAGGTGGGGAAGAAATCTGAGGCACAGGGACCACCCTTTGGAAGCTTCTGCTCTCTGTGGGGAGATGGGGCACTGTGATCTAAGACTGGGGAGTGATGGGGTGCAGAGGGAGGCACTGGAGAGGAGGCCCAAGGTGTCCTGGAGGAGGTACTGGTCTCAGCCCAAGCTTGAGGGATGGCCATGCGTTTGGGTGGGCTGATGAGAGGAGGTGAGGGTATTCTCAGCAGGACACAGCATGGACAAAGGTTTGGAGGTGGGAAAAGCATGGGATGTTATGGGGGACATGTGGAAACTGACTTAGCACCGCCCTGTGCGATGTGGCAGCAGCAAATCAGGCCCCAGATTCCACCTTTGCCACTTGCAGACTGAGTGATGCAGGGCAAAACCTTTCACCTCCCTGCACCTGAGTGTTCTTGTGTGTAAAAGGGACTAGGTGGCCAGTCTGGACGTGGATGCTGCAGAAAGGAAACACTGGGATACTGTCAGTAGCGATCATGCAGTGAGGATTTGTCTCCAGTTTAGAGTGGGTAAGTG